ATAAAGGTGGTATTTCAATGACATTTTAATTTGCATTTCCCTAATTACTAGGGGAACTTGCACATGTACAAGCCATTTATATTTCCTGATCAAACCCTTAGACCATCTTTTTTCGTACTGGGGATCGAACTCTGGACCACACTTGCCAGGAAGGCACTGTGCTGCTGAGCTAAATCCCTGGCCCTAGGGCATTTTTAAGTTGGACTTTTTTCTTACTAATTTTCTAAGGCAAGCTGTAAACAGTTGTGCTGATCTGGCCCACCACTTACGTCTTCTAAAAAATAGCTTTCACTTTTAAGTCTTAAGTATTAGATTTTATAAAACTATTTTCCATAAAACTGAATAACAAATCTTTTTGTGTGTGTTCTCCTCAGTTTGACAGCAAAGTTATACTAGCCTTGTGAAATAAACTGGGGAGCTCCACATTTTTCTTCACCTTGAAACAGATAAAAGTCTGGTAGAACTCATGGGCTTATGGTCTTTGTGGAGGGAAGAGACAAGCTTTGGACATGATTCCAATTTATTTTATGACTAATTGTCTCTGTCTTCATTTTGAACAAACTTTGATCATTAACACTGGCCATTTCCATTAGTCTCTAAATATAGTGGTAGCAAATACTTATTTTTTCCCTATTCATTTTTAACATGTTTCCACTGGCTTGTACCACCAGTGATACAAGCATGACTGTCCCACTGAGCAGTTTGTATCACTGGTGGTTGAAGTGGTACAGTCACGCATGGGACAGTATGCATGTACCACCGGTGCTTCAAGCCAACCAGCTGCAAGACATACGAATTACAGCCCTGTCACCAAAGTGTTAAAAGCCTTGTTCAAAAGCTATCTCCTCTGTAAATAGTGCTTTTATTTTTGTCCAGTAAGAGTATTTAACATTTAGTGAGCATATATATGACAAAAACTATACTGGACTCAATAATCATAAAACACACACAAAAAATCCTCCATAGATGAGGAAACCTAAGTGTCAAAAGCCCCTGTCATATACCCAAGATCATACAGCAGGACCAGGATGCAAACCTGCAGTTGCTAAGTCTGTGTTCCTGTATCATGCCACAGGTAAGTACATGTTCACATAGATCCATGATTTTCAAACACTAGTTATAATTTATTAATGAGTTGTGAAATCAACTTAGTCAACCATGAAATCATTTAGAGAGTTACGAACAGGACTTTAAAAAATAAGAGTAGAACATAAAATAAGAGCAGATTACAGTAGAAACATATATATTTTCATGAAACAGTAGATAACATGTGTATATATATGTATACTGGATTGAAAAAATGTCTTTCTTACTAAGAATAATAGAACTGTGACAGCTTGAAAAAGTGCATTTTAAGTATCAGTGACCCAGTATGTTAAGTTGAACTTAATAATAATCAAGAGGCAGAAGGTGTACATATTTTAGTGCCTTCTAAGTCATCAGAGAATGATGCTACATAATTATGATACCTAACATTTACTGAAACTTTAGAAATTATGCTAAACACTATATGGTATATCACTGAATCCTTAAAATAATCCAGTTAGAAGATGAAAATAAAAGATTCATTAAAGTTAAATATCGTATTTAAGGCTCTTTACATAGCTTTAAAGTAGCTTTCCTAGTAAACTACTGGAAAATCAATTACAAAGTAATTTATCAATTAAAGTAAAAAAAAGTTGTAACTTTTCTTATCTGGTACGGTACTGAATAATGAATTTAGAGCCTCATACCTGTTAGGCAAGTGCTCTACTAATGAGCCATATCCCCAGCTCAAAAAACTAGTAACTTTGTAATAGACCTACCCAAAAGACATCTTAAAGAAGTGGTAAAAGTTAGTATCACAAATAATGACACATTAGCATCATGAACCTTCTGATAATAATGCACTGAGAAGTACACACCATGTTTATGGCATTCTTGTCAAAAATGCATAACCTTAATCTAATTACAGGAAATACTACCTCTAAATTGAGAAGCACTCGATATAATAATTGACCAATATTCTTCAGAAGTGTCAGGGTTAGGCTGGGGATTTAACTCAGTGGTGCCGCCACCTGCCTCACAAGAGCAAGGT